TAATTTATAATTTTAATAAGTTATAATTTTAATAATGTATAATTTTTATAATTGATAATTTTTATAATATATAATTTTAATAATTTATAATATTAATGACTTAAACATTACATACATAAAGAGAGATTGCATTAAATATTACATTAAGACAAAGTGAATTACATAAGGTTTAATCTTTGTAATAATGTCTAGTTCCACAACGAGAATGACTTATGTTAGATCCTGGGCTACGTCGTGTTGGTTGTTGCTTTGCAAAATTTGGATCATCATCAAGGACTAGTTGTTGGAATGCAGTTGAGGAACTACTAGATTTATTATAAAAATCCGATTGGTAACTGTACTGGCCAGTCGAGTTGTCGACTTGTCCCTCACCAATCTGCTGACTCGGTCAAAGGTTTACCAGCCTAACCAAGCAGTAAGCTCATTATTGCCGAGCTCCTCAGCCCGACCATGAAACATGGACATCGGAACACCACATCGGCCCAAAGAGGCCACGTCATCAAACAAATAAAAATACAATCTTGTCACCGCGCCGCCCACGCGTTATGGGAACGAGGTGACGGTTATGACACATGGCGTCATGACAAATAGGCGTACGCGAAAAGTCACGACCCCTTGTCGAGCTCGGTCTTAACTCCTCGACCTACGGTCTTCGGAGCTCGGGGGGCTAGTGTACTATCCGTACCGCTATGCCGAGCTTGAGCTCGGCATCACAGCGCGGAGTGACCTCGGACACGCGCTAGGCGACATCGGCTCGCTATCCAATTAGGTCATAAACTGATCTCGGGCCCAAGGCCCAACAAAACCCTAATACACACAAAGGTACGGGCATTACTTATACGAGACTCATACACCCACAAACACTAACTTTGGCATCAGAGTCTCTTTTGCAGGTACCACCCCCATCTTGGAAAATGAAGCGTACCAGTGAAGGAGGCTCACCAATCTTACTCGGCGGATCACCTCTACAGCAGATCTCCGGTAAGAACATTTGGCGCCCACCGTGGGGCTCGAACCCACGACCACAAGGTTAAGAGCCTTCAAATACAAATTACGTTACCAAGGTCGAGTTCGAACCTTGATGTTAAAGTCGGGTTCGAACCTTCAAATACAAATTACGTTGCCAAGGTCGAATCCGAACCTATATGCCAAGGTCGAGTCCGAACCTTGAGATCACATTTTCTTAACCAAGGTCGAGTTCGAACCTTGATATGCCAAGGTCGAGTCCGAACCTTGAGATCACATTTACTTAACAAGGTCAAATTTGAACCTTCAAACAACAAATTTGGGAACTCCTCAGAAGCCCCTTTGCTCTTACATCACTCGGTGCTTGGGGGGAAAGTGTACTGACCAGTCGAGTTGCCGACTTGTCCCTCACCAATTTGCTGACTCAGTCAAAGGTTTACCAACCTAACCAAGCAGTAAGCTCATTATTGCCGAGCTCCTCAGCCCCACCATGAAACATGGACATCGGAACACCACATCGGCCCAAAGAGGCCACGTCATCAAAATACAATTTTTTCACCGCGCTGCCCACGCGTTATGGGAACGAGGTGACAGTTATGACACATGGCGTCATGACAAATAGGCGTACGCGAAAAGTCACGACCCCTTGTCGAGCTCGGTCTTAACTCCTCGACCTACGGTCTTCGGAGCTCGGGGGGCTAGTGTACTATCCGTACCGCTATGCCGAGCTCGAGCTCGGCATCACAGCGCGGAGTGACCTCGGACACGCGCTAGGCGACATCGGCTCGCTATCCAATTAGGTCATAAACTGATCTCGAGCCCAAGGCCCAACAAAACCCTAATACACACAAAGGTACGGGCATTACTTATACGAGACTCATACACCCACAAACACTATCTTTGGCATCGGAGTCTCTTTTGCAGGTACCATCCCCATCTTGGAACATCAAGCGTACCAGTGAAGGAGACTCACCAATCTTACTCGGCGGATCACATCTATAGCAGATCTCTGGTAAGAACAGTAACTATGTTGAAGATGGAGTTGTAAAATCTACTCTAAATAAGTTTGTAAAAAAATCCTCTGAAGCTGTTACAAATGAAATTCTTCCGTCAATTATGTTTTCTTGTGGTGTCATGTTGTGTGGAGGATTTGATACATGTTGGTGAGTCTCTTGATACGAGGGCATAGGAGTCGCACCGGTTTTAAATGTTGTTGTAGTCCTTCACTATTGGTGGGTCCTTAGATCTTACAGTAGTCGTGATACAGATAAAAATAGATGGAATTGGCCAAGTACCATTCCATGTATTCTCGTGTGTAAAACAATAGGTCTTGCATTGATGACCCATTAATGTGTGCTCAGGTCTATTATTCCATATGTCGATCCACTGAACATGTCTAGTAACCCAATTTTTATCTTGTCTTTCCATCATGTCAATGTTGTGTAGGTCATTCAAATTATTTGACAACAGCCGTTGGGGACCTCCTCATTTGTTCCATGGTCATCGCAACATACACCCTCTAGAACAAATTCTTCGTCAAGAGAGACAGGGAGGTACATGTCATGATTAATGTTGGACATGTCTACTCAAAAATTGCGTTAATCAAAGGCAAACACTCATATGATCACCTTTGATAAAATAAGTACAAGATTTTTAGTACAAAAGACATAACATCTAAGAGAAGTTTGACCAATAGGGAGATTTACAATAAGGTTAAATGAGATGTGGTGTGAATGTGGAAAATTCAAAAAAGTTCACATCTCATGCTCGCATGTTATTACTGCATGTTTACACGCATACCACAATTTTAACATCTACGTATCTCCTGTCTATACCTTACAACAAGTCTTTAAGGTATATGAAAGAAAATTTTGGGAACTGAGACACAGACTATCGACCAACTTACAATAGTCCAACTTTGTGTCCAAATCTAGAATTTAAAAGAACTTTTAAGGGTCGATCCAAGTCAAGCAGAATAAGATTAAATATAGACATTAAAGAACAATAAAATCGTGTAAAACATTATTTTTTTTTTCATACCCCTGGTCACATAAGAAAGAGATGTTCAAACATTGTTCAAGGTCGTCAATGATTTATGTAGCTTACAACTTATTTTTTTTAATGTATCATTTCCAAATTAATGTTAGTAATTACCTTATTTTGTTAATTATTAATTTATCATATTAATTTTACATTTAAATAAATATTATAAATTATTAAATTATTAAAATTATTATTTATTTAAATTAAAAATTATTCATATTATAAATTATTAACAAAAATACATATTAAAATAAATATATAAACATAATATTATTTATTATTTTATTAATATTATATATAAAATTAATAAATAATTTAACATTTAAAAAAAATAAAAAATTTCCTGCTCGAAATTCGGATTCTCAAGGACTGAATTCAGATAGGGTTCGTGGCTGGTATCATTAAAAAGCATCTCAAAATTCGACTCCAAAGACCAAATTCTGAGTTGCTACAGGAAACACGTTAAATATTTTGTGGGGTGCCATTTTCGAATTTAAAAAAAAGTATATATATATATATATATAACAATAAAAAATTGGGTCTATGAATTGGCTCAAGTCAATTAAGAGCATCTCTAATAAACAACCTCCTGTGTCACATCACTGACACATCAACTCTGTTCTACTTTATGGGTTGCTTAAATTTTAGAAAGTTATTTCTACAAGCAATTTTGCTAAAATTTAAGCAATCTATAAAATGAGTCAGAACTGATGTAACAGTGATGCGGTACACGGGTTGTTTATAAGTAATTGCATATGCTCTAAGGACACAGGAAAAATGATAGAAGTTTCAATTCCATTGGAATTTGTGTGACATCCGTATACAAATTGATGTTATTAACTACAGTGACAAGTATAGTATAGACAAAATAAACACATGAAGGGCATTCTAAGCCACATGAATCCGTTGCTACCTTCTCAAACATGTCATTCCTTCACGAGCTAGTGTTCCCTCAAGGTCTCCTATAATTCTAGCCGTCCTAACTTCTAGACCTCTTTGAACTTCATGGAACAGATTTCTAATACTGTCGGCAAACCTGTTCATGTCAATGCCAGAACTTTTCTCCATCTCTTCTGCCACTCCAACAAAGCCAGAAATAATCTTGGACTGAATTTCCATCAGTTTTTGTCCTGTTGCAACTATGTACCTCTGTAGTTGAAATGTCTCCTCTAGGAAGTGCTCCAGTGTTGACGTTTTCTCCTTAGCTCTTGCAACATTCACATCTCCACGGTTTGCATAGAGGTCATTCTCGTGCTGAAACAATGTGCAACAAATCATTGACAACTTTGCAATGCCAAATGGAGTTGGACACTAGAATTTGGATAACAGTTAATGCAACTTTGCTTCATTTTTTATAGTATTAAAAAGAAGCCAAAATGGATAAAAGATTGTTGTGAGCATGTTGTTAATGGATTGTAGTGTCAAAACTAATTGAACAATATGGAATTGGTGTGCTTACCATCCGTTTGCATAGATCATCAGTCTTCTCTTGGAGGGATTGATATCTTCCAACTTGTTTATTAAGCAAAGTGGTCAAGGACAGATAAGCCTTCATACCAACTTTGATATCATCAGTAATTTCTGCTTGTTCATCATTGGCTTGTCTTCCTGTTAACCTTTCAACAAGAACAAGTTGCTGCTTCAGCCTCTTGATCTTGTAAGATATTCCAAGAGCATGAAGATCCATCTTCCACAGGGGCTGTTTTGTTGTACTAAAGGTCTGGCTGGTAGAAGCTATCTTTTCAGAAGCATCAGCTTCCATTTTATATGGACTTTGATTTTGCATGGGAGTCGGACTATCCTCCCTAGAAAGACACTTTTCTTCTTCAATCTCATTTTCTGGAGATTGAACTAGTAAATTAGCACTGCCGAGCTGATCATGGGGCAGACAATGTACTTCCTTCTCACAATCTTCCTCAACCAAAGTTTCCATCTTTTCTAGCACTTTTTCTCCTGGTTTTCTCTTGACAACCTTGACTCTGGACCAGACAGCATCTTGGGCTAGTTCTGAAGACTGTGGAGGCAAATTTGAATTATTTTTCAAGGGCCTCAGTTTTGATACAAATTGGTCTTTCAGAGAAGTCAGTTCATCTTCTCTCTCCAACAGTAAGCTCTCCAATCTCATCTTGTCATGTCTTAGCTGTGTCACATCCTTGACTAGTCCCTCCACATGTGCCTGCAGCTGTTTGGCTTCTAATTCTGTTCTCAACAACTGCCAGCGAAATGCCTCCAATTTCTCATCTTTTAGTTGCATTTGTTCTGCAAAAGCATCTAGCTCTAAGTGATGCCTCTGTTCAATCAAGGTTGCATATCTTTCTGCCTCAGCTCTCATCCAATCTTCCACACGCTTAGCATTAGCAGGAATGGCTGGACACAAAATAATAGGACAAAGAGTCAAGGCAACTCTGCATGCACATTAGCAACAAATAAAGTAATATACAATACAAGTTTGAAGAATTTAATCTTACACACGTCTCCATTTCTTTGCTGCAAATAGTGATCAGGAAAAGGTGAAAATTGGTCTGGTTCATTTGCAATGTGTGAGGACCCTGTGGAACTATGCTGCATACCTCTAGTAGCACCAGGGAAAACATCCATCCTTGAACTCAAATTCACCAACATGCTTTTCAAGGAATGTCTTTCATGTTTTCCTTCTGAAACAGCCTTCCACCTTTGTGTCTCCTGCTCTGCATGCTTCCTCCTAGCCTTTGACAACTTAACCTCCTTCAACAGCATTTGCTTCTCTGCAGTATCCAACTTAGACTTCCTCAACATCGCTGACAAAATTTTATCCTTCTGTTCCAAATCCTTGTGAAACTTTGCAATCTCCAAAGACAATTTCTGTGCCATCAAATCTGACTCCTCCTTCTTCTCCATCACAGAAGCAAGCTCTTGCCTAGTAGCCTCCACTTGCTTAACGGCGCGACCGAGTTCAGCCTCAAGCTGCCTTTGGTTTGACACCAACTCAATGAAAGCAGTCTTGTGCTTCCTAAGATCAGAAGAATGCTCTTGAGCTTCACGCCTGGCAGATTCTCTCATTTCATCAGCATCCCTCTCAACCTTGGTGAGTTTTTCTTCCAGCTCCTTCCTCTTCTTCTCCTCTTGTTCAATCTCCTTGTCTCTTGACTCCACCAGAGCCTCCATGTCCCTCAATTTCTGATTCAGTTCAGAAATAGCAGCACCCTTGTTCTTCTCAAAAACTCTCAACTCACTCAATAGAGCCCCAATCTGCTGGCGGAGCCTCCTCCTTTCACTCAACCAGCTTTGCTCTTGTGCTGCAAAGATTCCCACAACTTTCTCATTGGCCTTGGCATCCTCATGCCTCATCCTTTTCAGATTTTCAATTTCCCTCTCAGCACTTCTGAGTTTGCACTCTCCCCCATTTGGCACTCCCTTCTGAACTTTCCACACAATCAACCCCAAAATCTGAGCACTCCCTTGAAGCATGGTGTCACGGATTTTAGACCATCTCTGAACTTCAACTTGCGGTTCTGTGAGGACTTGGAGCGCAAAGAATGCACAAGAAACACCAAAATACATGGGATACATGCTTTCAGTGTCACACCCAACTCTATCCAAAACAGAAATCTCCTTCTCACCCATTATTCCTGTGAGATCCGATTCCCTGGCACCTCTGCAACTGAAAACCAAAAGTTAAAAAACAAAACCAGCAAAATGTAAGACCCACATCACCTTACAAGCACATGACTCACTGGACACAAATGGGGAAAAGCACAGACCCACTTCTGATAAAACAGATCACAAAATGATTCAATAATTGGGAACCAACTAGGCTTCGTACATTGGCAGTGCAATAATTGAGGAACAGCAATACCCGGTGAAATTGATGGGTGCAGATTCAAAATGTGACTAAAACAATAGTTTCCTTAAAAAAACATTCAACAACTTACAATTCCACTTCTTCAACTCACATCCAGGGGAAAAAAAAACAAGGCAAGTGAGTGAAGGAGAGATTGCAGCTAGGTTCAGCAAAAAAGTATTATTCCAATGGACAAATCAACTCCACCAGTCACACCAAACAGCAAAGCTCATGTAGCTGATGTGAAAGGTATGAATCTTCTAAAAAAGGGCCGGAGAATGCATAGAAGATGGGTGCTTACACGTGTGACCCTGCACATTCGGTTGAAAAAGGGTACTCTACACTGAATAGAAAGAAAAGAAAACTATGAATTGTGCTCCCTGGTTTTCAGTGAAACACAACCCCACATGCTTCTCCCTTTCTTTTATTTTAATTTTTCTCTTTCTTGATTTCTTCTCCTCCTACCACCACCAACCCCTCACCCCTTTCCTTTCTCTAACTTCTTAACCATTTCAGCAAGCAAAAGCACTAGATTCCTGGATGCTTGTCACCATTAATTGCAAGAGAGAGAGCCTTAGCAACAAAAAGAATAAATATCTAAAATCAATTTGGCTATACAATATTCAATAAAATCAGAGTTGCTTACCTGTATTCAAAGTACACACAAAAAAAACATTTTCCTAATAAAAATTATTAAAAAAACACTTGCATGACCAGAGTTTCTAGTTTCAACAGGAGATAAAAATTAAAAAGTAAAACTATCACAGATGGTACATATTTGAAAGTGCATGGAAGCAGTTACATAAAGTATATTTTTCCGTTTTCCTTCTTCGTATACGTATACAAGTGAGAACAAGTATTGGTTGCTTTGTAACGTGGTTTACCCATTTTTGACAAATAGGTCCCTTTCATGATTGATAGTATATAGTATAACAACAACAATACAAACAAATGAATTAATAGCTTCTCCTGGACCACGTATCTTATCCGTGAATTAATCACAACTTAGGAATTCAAATATTTTGTGATATGATACCTCCAATTTTACAATACCAAAAGTATATGTAACGTTCAGTTAAGTACATATTTCTCAATTTCCAAGCAATAAAGTTGTTAAGAGTAATGATGGATACCAAATGCACTAGAGGGATATGATTCTATTTAACTGCTTTCCTTTTGAGAATTGAGATCTGCAAAAGCTGGAACCTGTTAAACAAAAGCTACACAACATCAAATTAAATTATGAATGCCAGGTTCATGTACATAGCAGAGAAAATTAAGGTGGTGGCCTCTCATAAGTCCAATAAAGTCTAGTACCTCAGGAAAAATAAGACTTCAAATTAGGTTTTCTTTTCAACTTTTATGAATTTTTATGGTTAATGTATACAACTATACATGTATACATTACAATAAATTTTTCACTCACTATTATTAGAAAACTAATTTTGATTCATAACTTTCACTACCGGTGGAAATATTATTGTTTTCTGGACTCTTTTAATCATTATTCAATAATTAACTTTGATAGTTTTAAAAGATTTATTTGTATTGGAATGAAGAGGAACGACAATGATTGTTTATGTATAGCTATATCATATCATGTATACTTTTCCCTTTATTATTGACCTTAGGATGACTTATTGTACCTTTTGCAGTTTGCATATAAACGTTTTGTAATTTCAAAAATTCAAGATCTGTTATTGGTATGTGAACTCGGTAATGTCGGCTTCAAATTCTCCTATGCATTTTACAATGTTCTTTTCGATTTCACTTTTTTTTTTAAAAAAAAAATTGATTTTGGACTTAATTTCTCTTAATTACTATCCAACTTTTAAAATTATAGATTTTATTATTTAACTTTTAAAATTTTACATATTTTACAATTTTGTTAGCTTGATATTGTTAATTGATTGTTGATTCAACAACATATGATACATGTTACATCATTATCTATCTGTCATATTAACATGCCACATTGACAATTAATTTAACATATTAATAATAAACATATTATATTAACAATTAATATGTCATATCAATGGTGAATTAAAAATATTAAATGATTGGTTAATAAAATATGTAAAATTAAAAAAAAATTAATGATAAAATATATAATTTTAAAAATTAGATGAAAAAATTCCTAAAGACATAAAATATGGGTAAAAAATAAGTGTAATTAAGCTGATTTTAAAAGTCCAAAGATAAGGAGGTTGGAGGAGTTACCTGTGGATGTTGATATCTATCCACCCTATTGACTAGAACAGTATGAGAGCGAAGTGTAAGAAATATTTGATCTTAGAGACTGAAATTCGTAGCCTATGTTCCCACCACAGATCTCGAATTTTTGGTGATGCGTAGTTTGGGCCCATGCAAATTGATACGATATCATATCACAGACAGCAGTGTTGCATCGGTGATGAGTGAATGATCAAATATATAAATGAGATTTACATCATATCATATCTTATCAAAACTTCTCAGAGAGAAGGGAGAAATAATCTCCCTAGAGAGAGAGGGAGGGAGGAAGAGTGAAATTATTACTTATTAGAAAGTGTTTCTTTCTTCCATTTATTTTTCTCAATATAAGAAGAAAAAAAAATGTGTAGAAATGGATTTCTGTACAGGTAAAAAATTCAATTCTGGGCATGCTTGGACTAAGATTGTTTTTCCAAAGATTATAATATGATTGGTTAAAAAACAAAAATTATCGGCATTACTCTTCAATCATGTTTGTGATAATTTAAATTATAATCTTTAATCTAATTTCTACACTATTTTTTTAGTTTTTGTGTACAAAGAGAATAATAAGAATCGAGCATAAAATTCCGTACATGTTATTTCAACTTTCAACTTTCTTGTTAACTCTAATGATTTTTCTGTATTATAAATTTGAATACTCAGTTTAAAGAGTGAGACTCATTGTTTTTCTGTCCATTTTTCTAAATTTTGAATTAAATTATATTAGATATTATTATTATGACTATGATATTATTCTCATTGTATGTTATTACTCAATTTTGAATTTTGAATTTGGAATTAAATTAAATTATATTAGATATTAAGTTCTAACAAATTGTATGTTATTATTCTCAGATTTAAAATAAGTATTATTTTATTTTAAATTCTAGCAAATTCTATTATCTTCAAAATATTATTGTTACAGTCATATTATTATCTTCAAATTTAAATTAAATTAGGTGTTATCTTTTGTTATATTAAGTTCATTCATTGAAATAATAGAATAAAATACTTTTAATTTATATTATTCAATTATTGTATTTAAAAAACATTTACCTTACATTTACAAGAGTTAAAATATTAGTTGTAATTTCAACAAAAAAGATATCATTTTTTATGATAGTTAAAATTATAAATATATATATATATATATATATATATATATATATATATATATGTGTGTGTGTGTGTGTGTGTGTGTATGAGGAGGGTTCAAATCGGTGTAACTTTTACTAAATATTACACCGTTCAATAACTTTAAATTAAATGTGAATTTTGTAAATTAACCATTAGATTGAAAGTCCATATCTCTTAGATCATATATACAAAATTTTATATTAATCCAAGATGATTTGATACTTTATTCTTATAAAACATTGACGTAATATATTTATTTCAAAATATACTTAAATATGAACACTTTGATTACCCTCAAGTTGTTGCTCAAAATTTTAACAAAATTTGATATACACATATAAAGTGGTATAAATTTTCAATCCAACGGTTAGATTTATAAAATTTAATTTAATTTAAAGTTATTGAGCAGTGTAACACTTAGTAAAAATTACACCAGTGTCATTTGAACCCCCCTCTATATATATATATATTAACCATTCCTTAATTAAAAATATAATTTTATAATTTTTCTTTTATCTTATGTTACATACAAAAATAATTTATTAAAAATATTAAATTTCAATATAAGATTAAAGCAATTTAAACACAGGAATTTTTAATTTTTAACCTAATATACCCAAATCTAAACTTATTTTATATAAGTTATTATTAAAATAAACTTTTTTATAATCCAAACACAAATGCCTATCAGTCACTGGCAATATTCAGTGGTCTGGGAAGGAGCTGAAATTCCATTTCCAAACGTTTTATATTACTAACAATAATTAACTAAGTAAATAGATATATGTAAACTTACTGTAAAATGAAAACGTTTTACAGATACTAATGAATTGATTAGTATAACAAAAAATGTTGAAAAAACATTTCGGTTTCAAAATGAAATTGTCTCTAACTGTCCTGTCAACTCAAATACATAATAGTTGAACACAAATATTATGTGCACGCCAGCGCTTTATTCAATGATTAAGCTGAGAACAATTAAAGCAAAAACGTGAAAGTACAATTATTCTATTAACAGCAGATGAACATATAGTTACACGCACGTAGTTCCTGTACACATGTATGGCGTGCTAGGTTACAACTTACAAGTTGGTGATCTGAAATTTTACGTTCCCTTTAAAGTTAGCAAATAGAACTTCTGCATTTTTCAGTAGGTTGATGTGGTTTATCTCATCTTTAGTGTTTCCAAACACACGTTAAGGACAAATTTGGAAGACGATATTCTAAAAGGAAACATTTGCGGTGTAACTAAACTGTATAATCAAGATTTTACTGAAGCCTTTCTAAAAGAATCAACGTAATCATTTTCTCAAAATTATTCAAAACCGAACATGACTTTCTAGAAACTTTTGTATAATGCAAAATTTAATCAGTAATCCAATAAGACAAATCTCATGCTTCGTTATTTTTGGTGCAAATTGTAAAGCAAGCTCTAATCCCACAAGTATCCGTAGGAAAGAGCATGCAAAACATAATAAAAGGGGCAAGGTGGGGTAGAACCCTACTTGCACTCCAAGAATATACACATGTAATCAAATGGAAATCCTGGTATACATATCTTAACACAATCTAACTACGAGTATACGAACTACAAATTACGGGATTTTGTTAAAAATCAGATTTATCCCGAACCCATTAGTCTCAAGCCAGGGAAGAACTCACCTTACCCACAAGGGGTAAGTTTCTTATTTCCTGCACCTCGTGGATTGTCATCCTTCCAGTCATCAAAAGCCCTTGCTTTCTCCTGTGCAGCATCATCATCTTCATCGTCATCATCGTCTTCTCCTGGCTTTGACTTCCTATCCTTGTACCAAGATGAATTGGCTTCTTCCATGAGTCTGACATTTCTCTCTTGCCATTTATTCATTATTTCCATTTCTTTTAGCCCAGCTTCCTCAATGCTCATAGTTGGCAACCTTTCATAAAATATTCATATTAGCATCTCAAAAAATGTAACCAGAGTGCAAGTAAAGTCCATTCTTATCCTAAACCATGTTCCCAAAAAAATATGCAAAACTCTACCCAATCACTTCTCTCAATAATAGGCAACAAATGGAGTCCTAAGCAATACAACACTGGAAAGTAAAAATTACAAGGAAATAAAAATTTATTATCTCTTTTTGGCCACATCGTCAGTCTGAAACACTCATTTTTCCCTTTTTCTTGCATTAGCCAGGTTGTGTGTGCATCTTATTGATAAAGGGAATAATGTGTACCTATGACTAGGTTGGAAGACCTGAGCTGCCATTCGTTCTCTCTCTGTTGTTATGCTTCCATTCACAAGGCTGGCTGGTCCAAATATTAGTGGTTGGTGTTTATGCTCATGTGCTTGTGAAGCCTTTGCTCTTCCTTCTAGAACATCTTGAGCAAAAGTGGCACACGTGATTGGTGGTGATGGCTTAGTGTACTGTGCACGAAGTGCTGCATCACGATGCCAAGTTTCTGCTTTCTTGGCACGTTCATCAAGAACATCTCTAGAGAACTCCTTATCTCCATCCTAAAACACGGCAAAATACAAGAATAAATAAAACCAAATCTAAGTCAACAAAATGTACTATTTCCCGTTCCTATTTAAAACAGAAGTACAAAACCTGTCTAATACGTTCAAGTATATATGCGATATTTGGCCTTAGATTCTAGAATTAGCTTTTTGAAACATGCTACAATGTCTTAACAAAACTAGCTAAGTATCAAATTCTGGTACTTTATATACGTTCTTCAAGTTTTAATTTTTAACACAATAGCATTCCTTACAGTAATAGACTTCTAGCGTAATAACATCAATGTAAAATAGTAGCAACAGAACCAAGGATGACAAGGTACAACAGTGCTTCATGAAGTATTTTAAACACCAAGCATTTTACTACCTTGGATTGTCTATCCTTTACAGCAGACAGCATCTCCTCCTCTTTCTTTAACATTTCCAGCAGATCTAATGCCTGAATATAACACAAGATGCACATCAGAACAATGAAAATAGAATTTTGAAACATGAAAATGTTACATGAGCACAAACCAACCTTACAGATTGCCAAAGATATGGTAGTGCTCCAAGCCTGAAAAAAAGATGAAATAAAATAAATGTGCAGTACAATGAGTAGATATAGTTCATGCTTCACAGCAACCACAATTATGCAATCACTCGCACAAAAATTCTTTCAGGCCTTCAAAACAGCCAAAATCCTTTTCATAAATCATAAGTCAGTCAGACAACATATAATGATTATAATCTGATAGAGCCCAACTCATAGATCAGCAAATTTAGTTCAAGATTATGTTATTTGAATTCTTATATCATATTCATAGCTTATCTTTAGCTTTTATATTTGTTATTCTGTTTTTTGCCTTTCTCATATGATTGAGGGAGATGATAATAAATATAGAGTAATTTGTGAGGGAGAGGCACCATTGGAGAATTTATCTTGAATTGTATTTCAGAGCTTTTGATCTTGGAGAGGGGGGCAGTAGTTAAATCAGGAAATCTTTTTTTTTTATTTATTTAAAACAATACCCATCCATTCCTGGGTACTCATCTTAAGACCACTATAGGTCCCACAAAAAAATTTTAAGAGCATATTCTAATTTTCCAAATATATCATCCACTGTGTACTAATTAATGATGTTTACAGCAGAAGTAGAGCTGAATTTAAGCCTGTCTAATGGAAGGCAAATGAATCATGTAAAAAAGATTTTTCAATGATACAGGCATATAGCATAAGCTAACAAAATATTAACAACATCACACTAAAAAAAGCAGATCACACACAAACCTCTCTTTCTTCTTCCCCATCATCATCCAATACTTCTTCCTCTCCTGCCTCAACAGGGGTGGACAGGGCAGCAGCTTTAGTAGAACGCCCACGCCGCTCCTTTCGCTCCTTTATTTCCAACAACTTTGATTCTGCAGCTCTCTGACGTTTGAACCTAGCAATCTGCACAACATGACACAGACTTATAGTGCCTGAATTCTATACAAAATCATGTTATATGTAATTTTTTTTTAAAATGTAGAAAGAAAAAAACACCTTCCTGGCCCTCTGATCAGCAACAGATTGTGGTGCCCCTTCAGTGTAAGATTCTAACTCCTCTTTTGGGACCAGCTCCATTGCTTCACAAAATGAGATAAATTCCTACAGAAAGGCTTTCTTTAGTAAACTTCAATGAAAATGAATATTACAGAACCTTAATAAGGAATTGTGCATCCAATGTTGAATTGGCTGTTGGTAGAGGAAGGAGGATCATTTTAATTGATCAGTTCTCACCTTTAGTTTTGCCTGGGATGCCTTTAGAATCGGTATCCTGTCATCCTGTGCTATTTTTTCAGTCAACTCAGCAAGATAAAATGGCACCTGAGGAAATTATCATGTGAAGTAAATAAAATAGTAAAAAGTTGTCAATATTAATTCTTCAGTTGCTTTAACAATCAGTAAAAGTTAAATGTTAAAACAGATGAAACAAATATCCATGGGTGGTGCACGCGTCTAGCCTTAACACATTTATACACACTTATATTCAGTTCAAATAATTTTGGGGAGAAATGCAAGTTGATAATGGGATTCCTTCCTAAATACTAATTTGCCAGTACAAATTTTTGCACGTTCCTTTTTATACAAAGCTCAGTGGGAAACAGCATAAACAATCATTCCCATGATGAAACTTATTCTATTAAAAAATTCACCCAAAATCTTTCAAGAAGCCGAATACCAGCTGAACATGGCAAGTTAGTGCTTTTGCAAAATAACATATTTTCTCTCAACGGCAGCTCAAAAAGAACAATTCTATTCTCTCAGGGAGTAAATAGTACGCTGAATTACTAAACTGACACATAACACCCTGCATGTCCCATCTTTAAAAGTAGAATGCAATCCAAACCATTCAAACAAGAAAGTAAATAAAGCTACAACAAGATTCTCATTTCTAGGCATCATATTAAGTTCCTTTCTCAACCTTTAAATATGTAGAGGCCCAAGAAAAGTTAGTTTCAACTTTCAACTACAGTATTGAAAGAATCTTCGCTAATCACTTTCCTCCAGTTTGGATTTGTTGATAACAGATTCTCAGCATGAACCAGTTGTGGTTAAACACATAAATATCTTTTATCTTGTGCTTGGATCAGTAGAGTAGGACAGTTCACAATGGAATTGGGTGGGAATGGATAGTACTCTCTTGTTTCCCCTTTGTTTTGGATGTTGAAAATTGATAGTTTCTAATGGAGTGGTTACAGTTTTTAAAATGCCAAGGTAAGCTAGTCCTCATACAGAAAGATAGGGGCAAACCAAAAACTATAGCCGTTTATTATATTATGTTATGAGAAATCATTAAATAATAAGCTCAGTGATTAATCTAACAGCACATTTCTGCCTCACACAACACGTTTTGATGTGGTTTATCACTCTCCAAGTACATAAAAATTTCTCTGATTCTAAGAATTTGAAAAACTGAATATGCTTGCTGAACCGCTAAGAATTAAAAACAACACCAAACCACTGCATCCTGCTTAACTCTTCCAAACACGACCTAAATAGGTTCATGCCGCTATTCATAACGTATAAAATAATCGCGGAAATTAAAAGCTAAAAGAACTAAACCTAAACAAGCATACGAAAGAAGAATAGTAATGAGAAGGTTAAGAAGAGAAGAAGAACGAACCAGAATATACTTGAGATTGGTGGTGCCGATATCTTCTTTGGTCTCGTTGAGAGAGAACAAACCTAGATTATTTACCATGTCCTCGCACCTACGCAGGGCTTCGCAACCCTTTTTCACGACCTCCTGAAGCCGAGAAACAACGCGTGTCCAGTGAAAAACCCTAGACAGAAAGTAGAACAGAAAGAGAAGGAAGAGGCGAACCTGGTCGGCGCCGGAGTCGGTGGCCGCGGCGTGGATCTTGCGGGCTTGCTCAAACAGCGCCGGTAACGGTAAGTCCTCCATTCTGCGGCGGAATTTCGATTCCCTCCGATTGTTTATGGAGAAAAAGGGATGAAAAAATCGAGAGAGATCGAGAACGAGAAAGAAACGAAGAAGGGCAATCTCAATTCGGTGTGGAAGGGTGCACGCTACATACACATGCGTCCTCCACTCACACCTTGCCAAAACAAAATTACTTCTTGTAATATTTTTTCCTTTATATTCTTTTAGTTGTGTATAATAAATAATAAATTTATTGTATTTTATAAAAATTTATTTGAAATGAAATACTTCTGTGAGTAAATAGGAGAAGATTGGTGTAGCATGCACATAATTTTAAATTTAAACTCTGATATCATTAATGTAATTTGATAGATAAAAAAAGATATTTAAAATTATAAATTATAAATATATGTAATTAGTTATTAAAAATGTAATTAATTAATAGTGTAAAGCACAATATATAGTCATTAAACTTTAAAATACAATATAAAAATTATCATATTTAGTTTTAATTAATTATTTGATACGTTAATAAGATATAATTACTTTTTTATTGTCGGTTCAATACATTTTTATCATAATAAAATTTAAGAAACAATTTTATAAATACATTAAATGAATAACTATGATGTAACCATCAAGTAATGTAAAAATAGTTGTTTATTAGTATTTTCTTTAGTGATAAGAATAAATTTAGTCTTAAATAAGAATCTATAATTAATCCTCTTTAAAGTCCGAGATTTTATAAAAAGATTAAGTTTAGACTTTTAAAAAAGTCTATTTATATTTTAAAAAAAAAAGTTAAACTTAGATTTATAGAAAATTTTATTAAATTTGATAAGTCAACCTATTAAAAATATAAATAAATTTATAAAATAAAGATAAATTATTAATATTTAAAATATTTTTATATAATTATGTTTTTTGTAACGACCCGTCATGGTCGTCTCACTTCACAGCACAACACTAACTGTACATGATAATATATATCGAAGATAGTAATATAATATATGTAACATCATCTCCATAATATATATATA